TAACTCGCTGGGAATCAAAACAGCGCTCTGTGCATCCTTTTTCTCTCACTCACTGTTTGTTTTTGAGGAGACGTCTACCATAACATTTAAAGTCAACGCAACTGTGATTCATGTGTACCGGGCCGAGCCACACCGTCACAGTCCTGCATGTCCGAATGATTCATATTCAGAACAGATGTGGTAGTTAAATGTTGTTGAAAGCTGGGTGGAGGTGTACAAAAAAAAAAAAGACATATTGACCTTGGACTATTGTTTATCTAGTGCAGTGCTTCTCAAAGTGTGGTCCGCGGAGCACTGGTGGTCCGTGAGCGCCCCCTAGTGGTCCGTGCGTATCATTTCACATTTGAAATAAATTAATACATTTCAGTTTTCCCGCACTCTCGCGGGAATATCTCCGCATTGGAGCGAGGTTAAGTTTCACTTTCGATTGCATGATATAGCCCAGCGCAACACCTTCATCACACATGCTGCCACTTGTTTGTACCATATTCAGGCGATTTGTAATCTGTTCTAGAAAAACGATGTGTTTTTTGATATTTGTGGAGTTAGGTGGTCCGCGAGTGTTTTTTTATTGGTTATGTGTCCTTGGTGTGAAAAAGTTTGAGAAACACTGCTCTAGTGTCTTTACCAGAAGTGTCTGATAATTACATGGAGAATTTCTTAAATATTCTTATTTTTTCTCCATGCCTAATGCACCAGACCTCGGAGGATTGGATTCATATTTGTGGTTATTTTTAGGCCACCTGTCAATCACAATCTGTCAGGCCAACTGCCACCTCCATCTGCTGTAGTCCATGACATTAAACGACAATGAACTGCAGATTTTACACAGAATCTGTAAACTTTGAAACTTCTCTGAATAATTGGAAATGGAATTGATCGAGTGCCTTCTATTTGTGTATTCATTTTGCTCTTATTATTGTTTTTTATAATTCTTTTCATCACTGGTTTTATTAGTTTGCTTCCAGTTTGAACTGCGTGGAGAGAAACCTCATTGTACACGAGTATAATGACACTGAAGAGCCTCTGATTCACAGTTGCTCTTCGCTGTAATTGTTAAACTTTAGTTAATTTAGTTCGTAACAATCTTATTTTAAAGGTAAATAGCAAATACCCTTTTATTCGGAAAACCCTCAATAGTGATATAAAACGACAAGGAGTGTTGTAGTCATTTAAATAATATCTTTACAAGTGCCTTTCTGCCGTTTTAAATATAGCAATCTGTTTTTCTACTGTAGTGCACAAGGTTAATTCCCCTCACAACAACATTTGGTATTATATGAAGTATGGGATAGATTTGATATTTGTTATGTATTGATTTTCCATTTCTACTCATAAATACTTTGCGACGCATATTTGTTAAATAATAATGAGGAATAAGAATGAAGACACACATCATTTGTAAGCAGAGTCTTATCTTAGTAGAAGACATTGAAATCAACACTTAATACATAACATATTTTTCAAGTACCATCCATCCCATACTTTGTATAATGCCAGATGTTGTTCTGAGGGGAATTAACCTACTTTACGTTAAGTGGAAAACTGTTTACACTATTTAAAACTGCAGAAAGTTGTAAACACCTCATTTCAACCAGACGTAAAACCAGTATTTATGGGAATGATAACACATATCATCTTTTCTCTTATTTGAGTAAGAGATAATGATAACTGATCTGATCCTCTTTCTCTTCCAGACTGTCTTGATTCCCGGTCCAGACCTGAAGCCCGGAGAGGAGTTCGAAGCTCTCAACCATCAAGTTCCTAAACCAGAGGCGGTCCAGTGGAGCAAATAGACCACCGGGTGGCGCTGCTCTTTACTTCAAACCTCAGTAGGACATTATAAGCAGCCATGCGCCAAATGCTGTTAACATTCTGTGTGTGGCTGGTAGGTTTGTCCACTCTGGCAGGAAGGCTGGCTTCCTTTGAAGGCTCTTATCTGTTTGACAAATGCTGCTGGCTGTGAATGGGTGGAAGCAGCAGGTGAGTTTAGGGATGAACAAACTACTGAGTCCTGCAGCCAATAGAACTGCTTCCTGCGCCACACAACGGTCTGGAATACTAATACCAATAACAGCTGTTTTCTCCAATTGGTTTTACATTTTTTCAAGACCAACTTAATGTGTTCATGTCAAAAATAAAATTCACAGACCTCAGGAAATTGAGTGGTTTATTTTTGTGATGAATACACTGCATGACCTCAGGGAAATACAAAAATAAAGTGTACCATCTGCGTGTCTTCACACCAGTAGATTTGAACAGATATGTCTTTATCAGAATAATCTTTCACAGAAGATATTGCATACAAAAGTGAAAACAAAGTGGACCTCTCTATGCAAATCAAGGAATGTCTTACAATACACTTCTTTAAAAAAAGTGACAACAAATTACATCTACAAACATGCAACAGTTCTCACAAAACTAGGTCGCTATTGACATAAAATTGGCAGGAATGCGTAAATAATGAGATCGCTGAATGTAAAAAAAAGAAAAATCATTGCATCTGCATGACACTGGAACATGTGCTGAAAAACACCCGCGTTTTACCAAGTGATGGAAAAGACATTTGACTTGTTACACCTACACAGAAACCTGTATACATTGTTAGATTTATTTACAATGAAACCTCTTCAAACACAATACAGCTATTTAAAAGTTGCAATTGCCTCATGATTGAATGATTCCTAAAAAATACAACAGATATTAAAATGTATGGCCATGGCTTATCCCGAAATGTCATTTAGATTAATTTGTCTCATTAAGTTTTACCAGCTATCTGCATACGAATGGAGTCAAACATACCTTTATTTCATATACAAACATATTAATGAATATTACAGTGGTGGCAAACATGTAATAATGTATATAATATATTGACCAATACCATTATCTGCATAGAAGACCTTCACAAAAACCTGTGTTGTTGACCAAAACCTTACCTAGCCATTACTCAGCTAACAGGGCGAAGTCACGTATCTCCTTGAAACCGAGGATTAACCTCTAAAACTGACATTATTCACAATTTGATTTATAAATTGGAAACGGGTCAGTTTGCCTGCAACACAAGTGTACTGATGTTTTTTTGCAATCGCCAGACATTTAAAAAGTATGTATTTAATCACACTGTTAATTTAATGTTACTCTCATTTTCTCGCAGTACAAAACAATTAGGCAGTGTTAGGGTTTAGCATATCTTGAGTTTATGGTGATTTTATGAATTTTGTTGGCTTTGTCTATTTAAGTCTTTATATCCTATTATTTTTGACTTAATCAAAAGTGAGGGAGGAACATTAAATATTGGCGTTTAGTCCTTAAATGGTCACTTAAGCAAACAAGTATGCATAGTTTTCAAAAATGTTCAATACGACATGTAATGTACCATTTACACATCTATTTTGAAAATATAATTTCCACAAAAGAACACAATTAGACTGTAATCTCAATAGATTCATTCGTCTTGCGCTGTATTTTTGAATGCCAGCACTCGAGACTTGTTTAGTTCAGGTTTTGAACTAAACAAACTTTCAAGTTAAATTTAAAGTGGGGAATCAGGAACAAAAGGGACTCTATCTTAATGTCTCAGATGCCCTTCGATCAACCAGTGTCAGTCTGTAGTTCATTGCTGGTTTAAAGAGGGACATTATGCAATGTGTACTTCAGCAAAAAAAAGTATTGTCAGTCATGTCTGCACAACTAATTGTCTCCAGCTTATGAAGGCTTGTTAGGCAGAAAGCGGCATGACCCAAATGGGTATTCTGACCTGTAATAACGCAGCCCTAAATTCTGTCGTTGATAAGCCTGAGTACTTATCCAACAGAAAGGGATTTCAGCTCTGCCGTCTGCAGGGGAGCTGATCGTGAGCTGACCTCCCTGTGGTTCTCAAAAACAAAGTTCCCCTTGTGGTACCTGAAAAAGTCGTTGAGGATTCACGATCTCACAGGTCAGATGGGAACACAAGAGCCTCAGCAGCAAATTCTGCATCGTCGTCTTCATCTTCCTCAGGGATATTTTCAGGCTCCCATATAAAGACGTCTGAGGTATTGTCTGTGAAAGAACCAGATCTACTCCTTTCCATCTGCCAGGAACACAAAGCATCTCGCCGGCCCAGTTTCTCTTTTGGCCTGTCTACCTGCTCACCGCTGACATCTGGTGGGTTCTCTTCTACCCTGAGCTGTCTCTGGTTCTCTGTGACTTCATCTTGGTCACTTTTGAGAATATCAACTATGTTTTCGGAGGAGGGTTCTGTATCCTTAGATTCCAAGGGACAAACGTCTCCTGCAGTGCTGCCTTCCTTTTGGACAACTTCTGGTTCCTCAGTATCCCACGGACAAACATCTACCTTTACGCTATCTTGCTTCTGTAGAACCTTTGGCTCTCCTGTATCCCACGGACAAACATCTACCTTTACGCTATCTTGCTTCTGTAGAACCTTTGGCTCTCCTGTATCCCACGGACAAACATCTACCTTTACGCTATCTTGCTTCTGTAGAACCTTTGGCTCTCCTGTATCCCATGGACAAACATCTTTCTGTACGCTATCTTGCTTTTTGAGTACCTTTGGCTCTCCTGTATCCCACGGACAAACATCTTTCTGTACGCTATCTTGCTTTTTGAGTACCTTTGGCTCTCCTGTATCCCACGGACAAACATCTGCCTTTACGCTATCTTGCTTCTGTAGAACCTTTGGCTCTTCTGTATCCCACGGACAAACATCTGCCTTTACGCTATCTTGCTTCTGTAGAACCTTTGGCTCTTCTGTATCCCACGGACAAACATCTTTCTGTACGCTATCTTGCTTCTGTAGAACCTTTGGCTCTCCTGTATCCCACGGACAAACATCTGCCTTTACGCTATCTTGCTTTTTGAGAACCTTTGGCTCTCCTGTATCCCATGGACAAACATCTACCTTAACTGTATCTTGCTTCTGTAGAACCTTTGGCTCTTCTGTGTTCCATGGACAAACATTCGCTGGCACGGTATCTTGCTTTTTGAGAACCTCTGGGGCTTCTGCGTCCCACGGACAAACGTTTTCCCTGGTATTTGGTTCCTCTGAGGCTTTTGATTCTTGAGTTTTGACTGCCACTGATTCCTTTGTATCCCATGGAAAAACATCTGAAGACCTTTCCAGTCCATGTGACACAATCTTGGTAGCTTCAGTTGTTTGTGGGGGGTCAGTTTCCCAAGGACATATATTTACTTTTGTGGCATCTTTCTCCTCACTCTGCAGGGAAGCAGCTATTAAAGGTGAGACTCTTTGTTGTGAGCCTTCTTGATTTCCTGTTTCCCAGGGACACATATCTACCTTGATGGTAGATGAGCCTGTATTTGTTGGATCAGTGTTACCCTCTTCCCATGGACAGAGGTCTCCAAGGTTTTCAGGGGGATCAGGGAAATCCCACGGACAACTTTCTGCTGCCTTGGTGACTTGTTCACCCAAATGCAGGGCTTCTGATTTTGCGAGTTGTTGCCCTTCATAACCTTTTGTTGATGCACTGTGATGGACGTCAGGTTTAAAAACGTCATGTTTAAGGGGCACAGACAGCGTTCCTCTGGTCCCCAAGGGATTTAGGTTCTCGTATTTAACTTCAGCCTTGTCCTTAACATCCCAAGGGCAAACATTAACATATTCACTTTCTTGCCCTATTGAAGGTTGGGGGCTTTCTGCAGTTTCCCAGGGACACACATCTGCTGTAGGTTTCAAAGACTGTTGTGTTTGTAAATCTTTGGACGTGTTAGTATAACAAATAACTGGGATATCCTGCGTCTCCCAAGGACAGGTCTCACTTTTGCCACTTCCTTGTTCTCTCACATAGTCTTCCTCTTGAGATTCCCATGGACATACATCTCCTTGAATAGTCTGCTGCCTCTTTAGACCCTTCTCTCCTTGGGAAGTACCAGCTCCCTCCAATGGACACACATTTCCAAAGGAAATATTGTGTACGGGTGTAATTCGATTACTACCCCTTCTGTGAGTTGAAGGAGTTCTACAGCTACTGGCAGTCTCCCAAGAACTGGTACTACGTTTGCTGTTCTGCCTTGATAGAATCACACTTTCATGATTGCCATCTTTTGGCGTTTCATCAATATCCCAAGGGTAGACGGCACATTTTCCAATTGAGGGCCTTCTTTGGCTTCTGTCGAGAGAATCCCCAGAGGAACGTCTGATGGCGTTCTGCTTGACAAGGCATGGCTTGTTGACTGTTGTCATACTTTTCAGCAGTGACCTCTTTTCCATGCTTGGTCGTCTACTAGAAACACTTTCATGACTTTTTAGTGAAATAGAGTCCTCCTTATTTGTTTTTCCATCCACACTGGACTTGCTTCCTGGCTCAAAGTTTACCATTGCTGTTTTCACAGAGAGCCACGTAGTGGTGGCGGTCCGGAAGGAGAAGACGCGTTGATCTTTTGTGAATTTTGGTCTCGGAGTGCAAGGTGCACTTGCAGAAACAGACGCCTGCAGTTTTGGGTAGTCCGTTTCAAATGTTTCGCTATCTTCTGAAGGCTTCTTCTCTACAGGTGGTAAATTCTCCCAGGGACAGACGAGCCCTTTTGGAGATGTTGCCCCATTGTCTTCACTCTCCATTGAGTTTGCGTAGGTCACATGTTTCTGGTTCTTGTCCCCTGACTGTTCTTGCTCCTCTTCCCAAGGACATACATCAGACTTGTCAAAAGACCCTGACTGGAGGGCACTTCTGGTCTGTTCACTGATGGAAAGGCTCGGTCCCGACCGTGTCAGCACTGTGCTGGCTCTGGTAACTTTGGGGATGTTCTCCATTAAACTCCTAGAAGCGGAAGTTAGACTCCAGGATTTCTGAAGCCTGGTGTGATCAGGATGCAAGAGATTGATATCAATTGACAGATTTTGGGCACTAGCTGACTTGCAGAGCCCTAGTGGAATATCCAAGGAATCTGTCTCTGATTGACGGGAAGTCCTTTTCAAAGCGTTGGCCATTAACATGGAGTCACGCAAGGAAGGGTCTCTTTCCCTGATATAGTGATGATCGCTCTGGGACTTGTGCATTGCTGGTGATGGTGATGGGTACGGTGATGGGTACGGTGATGGGTACGGTGATGGGTACTTCATTGAACTTTTGAGGCTGATAGTGACCGAATCTGGAGCTCTTTTGGAGGACTCAGACTGATTCACACTTTTACTTTGGAGGAAGCCCTCTCTGTCGTCGCGGCTGCACCGTCGGCTCATGCTTTCTGGGATCTCAGCAATGCGTTTAATGATAGATCTTCCTAATGCGCATCGAGAACTTTGCTTCTTTGACAGATGAGGATTTTTTGCCGTCATCTTCTTGGTCTTGTGGACTTCTAACTGGGCATATAACTTCTTCAGTTCATCCTGGTGCATATGAAGAAGGGAGGGAAATTATGAAGGGATTGAGGAAATGGTTGAGGAGAGGAAAAGATGTGGAGAGTAACAAGTCAGAGGAGAGGTACCAAACACGTTTTCATGTAAGAACAACACGGTTTAGGATAAGGATAAAGGGTGGAGAAAGGTCATACTACATGTGTTCATTCGGCTGCTTATTGCATTTATGATTTGAGTTATAATACATTTAAAATATGTTTAAGTGGGTCTATATGTGGTCCTAACTGAAATTAAAGGATATTTATTCCTTATTTAAACGTGACCTTTTGAATTTCTTCCCCATTTTGGAGATTATGTCCATATGCAAAGTGATAACATCGTTCTGAGGGGAAAAAAGAGTTTACCCTGAAGTCATCCGGGTCCACTCCACTGTGTTCACTCCAAGCAGAGTGAAAACTGCTGTTGAGGTACGAGCCGGAGCGCCGCAGGTCGACTTCATCTTCATAAACCTCTGCTGCAATCTCCTCTCTCCCCGGCTTAGACACATAGAGAAACTGCAACGCACACAGACATACAACTCGCACGTAAACATTTCACATATGAAAAACATTGTTGTGTGCACATTCAAATACACTTAAGTACCAGTGACATTTCTCTACAAGTAGTGGATTGATTCTCATAAAGTATTGCAAATATATTTGAAATGCATACAATTCAAACGGGATTAACAGCAGTGGTGGAAAGTACCTGAGTACAAGTTTTTCTTTCCATGGTTTCTTCCATTTTTGCCGCCACCTCCAACCCCTTTTAAAATGTATTAACTTTTCCTTATCCAAAGCAGGGGTAGTATTGACTAGGGGTATCTGTAGGTATGCCGTACAGATTGAGAATCCCTTTTGAGGCAAATGTGGGATATTGGATATAGGATTTTATAAAAAAAATGGATCTGATTTGCACGTTGGACATTCCTGAGGTTTCTTCCACTTTGCAAATTTCTGATATTAGACTATATACAATTTTTTACGTACCTTGGGAATGAAAAGCAGGGCAAGTGTCACAGTGATGGTCACATGGGTATGCGTGAAGGAGAGCAGCAACATCCAATCAGGATGCAGAGAGGAAAAGGTAAACCTGAGGGAGACAGAAAACACAAAATGACTAATTGTCACATCAGTGCTAGATGTTTTTTCTGTGAATTGCACAAATACGCAGCGAGTGTTGATAATAATAATCATAATAATAATAAATGTTATTTCTAAAGCACCTTTCATTGCGAAAAGTAATCCCAAAGTGCTTCAAGGGGCATGATATACTTTTTCAAAAAAAAGTTTAATCAAAGGCTTTTTTTTAAAAGAAAGGTTTTTAGGCCCTTAGGAGTCAGTGGTGGGAAGTAGTGGAGTACAAATACTTCGTTACTGTACATAAGTATTTACTTACAACATTTTTACTTTACTCCACTACTTATTTTTCTGATGACTTTTTACTTTTACTTCTTACATGTTGAACACAAATACCTGTACTTTCTACTTCTTACATGTTGAACACAAATACCTGTACTTTCTACTTCTTACATGTTGAACACAAATACCTGTACTTTCTACTTCTTACATGTTGAACACAAATACCTGTACTTTCTACTTCTTACATGTTGAACTCAAATACCTGTACTTTCTACTTCTTACATGTTGAACACAAATACCTGAACTTTCTACTTCTTACATTTTGAACCCAAATACCTGTACTTTCTACTTCTCACATGTTGAACACAAATACCTGTACTTTCTACTTCTTACATGTTGAACACAAATACCTGTACTTTCTACTTCTTACATGTTGAACACAAATACCTGTACTTTCTACTTCTTACATGTTGAAACACAAATACCTGTACTTTCTACTTCTTACATGTTGACACAAATACCTGTACTTTCTACTTCTTACATGTTGAACTCAAATACCTGTACTTTCTACTTCTTACATGTTGAACACAAATACCTGTACTTTCTACTTCTTACATGTTGAACACAAATACCTGTACTTTCTACTTCTTACATGTTGAACACAAATACCTGTACTTTCTACTTCTTACATGTTGAACCCAAATACCTGTACTTTCTACTTCTTACATGTTGAACTCAAATACCTGTATTTTCTACTTCTTACATGTTGAACATAAATACCTGTACTTTCTACTTCTCACATGTTGAACACAAATACCTGTACTTTCTACTTCTTACATGTTGAACTCAAATACCTGTACTTTCTACTTCTTACATGTTGAACTCAAATACCTGTACTTTCTACTTCTTACATGTTGAACTCAAATACCTGTACTTTCTACTTCTTACATGTTGAACACAAATACCTGTACTTTCTACTTCTTACATGTTGAACTCAAATACCTGTACTTTCTACTTCTCTCATTTCCCAAACAGCTGGTTCCTTTAGTCTGAATGTGTGTTTGATGTGTGATCATTATTCTTTAGAGTCATTGCGTGCCTATTGATTTGAACACGATCCGTGTATCCATCATTTCCTGGTCTTCTCTAAAGAAGAGGGACCAATGGAAACGTTGTCATGTTGCCGTTGTTCAGCATGGAAACATTCATTAGCTAACAATGACATTATTGTTCTATTAATATAAAGGGAGGTCAGGTACTCTTTAAAACAGCTGCTAGTTATGGGTACTTTTTACTGAAGTACATTTCAAAGCCTCTTTACTTTTACTTGAGTAAAGAAGTTTAGTCAGTACTTCTACTTTTACCAGAGTATTTTTAAACACGAGTATCTGTACTTCTACTTGAGTAAAGGATGTGTGATCTTTTGCATCTCTGGTGAGGAGCAGCTGCATATCAGGCATATTGGCATTAGGATCCTTGCATTTCAGGAGTGCAGAGAGGTGCTCGCTGTTTACCTGAACAGGTGAAACATGGAGGAGAGGAGCAGCTCGTTGTGGATGGCGATGCCCATGTAGCGCGGCTCGTGGAAAGCGGAGGGAACCGGTCTGACGGCGGTCCACAGAGAACTTCCCCAACACAGGAACAGGAGCTCCGCTGAGGCAGGACAACGTAAGGACATGATTATTAAATAGTGCAGTTTTTAGTTAGTTTTCAGTCCAATATGTTTCAAGTCTTTATATACAGTACAATACAATACAGCTTTATTTATAAAGCACTTTGAAACCTCCAGACCTAAGTGCTGTACAGTCAGATAAACAAACAAAACATATGAAAATCACACACCATAAAATAAGTACCAGTAAAAACCAATAGACAATTTAAAAGCAACAATCTACAACAGTGGTTCTCAACTGGTGGGTCGCGGACCCATTTCGAGTGGGTCGCAGATGTGAGTGAAACATAAAAAAAATCCTTTTTTTTTTTTTTTGGGGGGAAAAAGTCAAACTTTTATTTTGAAGGCCTGATTTTCTAACGCTGTGCATGCAGTAGGCGTTGGACTGAAAGTACCGGAGACCATAAACGGTTTTGAAAACTTCTGTCACGTAATGTTCATATATAAATACTAAATAAAACATCTGATATTTTTTCGAGTCTTCTGGCCAATCAGAATCAAGATTGTTGCCGGAAGTCCCCACGGAGAATAACTTTGTGGTAGAACTCTTCTTTATACATCCATGGTTACAACTTCAGATAAAAATGACCACATAATGAAATATGACCCCCGGTTTGATGATTGACAGGTCACAGAACAATGGGGGCTATCTACCCTTACCCACAATGTAAACTATTTCACACAGACTCTCTCCTCTTTGCTCTTCTCTCTGTGTGGAGCAGCAAGCTGTCAGAACAAAGTGAAAAACAAACAATGGCATAAAATATTATTAATATGTCGGAATAGATTTATTTATTTTCTTCTCAGAGTGTACCAGAATGCGTAGTTTATATGTTAGTATTTAAAAAAATCTCCTGGGGGAGAATCCCCCCAGACGCCGGGTTGGGTTTTCAGCATGTGTGCCTTTTTATGTTATACAATTCAGCTTTGATTCCATCATCTCATTAAACCTTATATAAAAGCATTCTTTTGTTCTGTGAAGGGATATCAGGGATATATGCACTGTACTTCACTTTAATTAATATTGTATGCTGCAAAGAGTATATATTACTGCAGGATTTTTTGTTGAATAGATTTGAGTGGTTCAACATTTCGGGCCGCGATTTATTGACTAAGGAAAAAGTGGGTCCCGAGGCCCGACCAGTTGAGAACCATTGCTCTACAAGATGTCAAGACGCTAAGGAGAAGAGGTGGGTTTTCAGACGCGATTTAAAAACAGACAGTGTGGAGGCTTGTCTGATGTGCATGGGCAGATCATATGTGTCGTATATGTCATATGCAAAGTTAGAACAGTAGAGAAGTTGTTGGAAATGAAGTTCTTTGTCTTTAGGGTCCAATTCCAATCTGGTCGTGTCGTGTCCCTTTGGTCCCCCTAGCCCAATAGGGAACGTAACACTCTACTAACACAACTACAAAATGTATCAAATACCAAACACGTAGTAAAAATGAGAATCTAAGATATAAGTCATAAAACACAAAATAGCAACATTTAAGATATAAGTAAAGTTGTAAACTGTCCTCAAAAATATATTTTTTGGGTAGTTTCATGGTTCAACTTTGACAAATACAATAATTGCTATAGTTGTCCTTGTTGCAATGAGGGAATATTACAATTTCAGATGGTTTCACCTCAAAAATAGCCAGTTTAACAGCTGGCCAGCTTCCAACATGACTTAAAAATGTACCCCTTTGGTACCTTTTCAAACTGTTAGAACAATATCACTGGTCCCCGGCTTGAGCTTCAATCTCAGGATCCATGTATGTGTGATCCTCTCCAGAATGGAAGTAGTCATCACATACAGAGCATCAACTAGTTCCTGAGCAGTGTCCTTCACATGCTGATATCCAAGAGAGGGAGTTACACAGTCACAAGATGGAGGAATACCGGGCTTTTTCTCAAAATGTTGGCTTTTCTCTGAAAATCTGAAAATCCTGACTTTTTTTCAAAATTCTGACTTTTTCTCAAAATCTCAACATTTTGACTTTTTCTCAAAATCTCAAAATGCTCACAGTCACAAGATGGAGGAATAGAAAGCAGTCTTCAATGTTTACTCCAGATTAGCTCCACGTCAGAAATGAGCATGCTTGTCACATGTCTATCTCCATAGAGGCTGAATCATCATGTTAATCACATAGCTATCATATGCCTCAAACAGTCCTGATGCTCTTCTAGGTAATCATACATCCTGTCAGGGATGTGCACAGGTACGGGCTAATGTTGCCCGGGCAACGGCCCTTTTGAACTTTTTGGCTGATCTGCCCCTCTGGAGAGAGCGAAAGTCTTTTTTTCTGTGGTGGCCGAATAAACATGATAAGCCCACAATTAGTATTGTAGATTATTGCTGCAAACACACCTTGTCAGCGCTGTCATCTGCCCCCAGTCACGTGACTTTGTTTACAATCTGACAGCTGGAAAGCAAAGGGAAGCCCTCCGAGTCCGGTCCGGCCTCATATGGCTATGGTGATCATATGGTGGTCAATCTGTCCCCGGAGATGTTCCCGTTTTTAAATATGCTTAAATTGATTTTGAGTTTTCTCATGGCAGTTAGAGTATAGGGGAAAAACCAGGGGACTTTACTTCCTCTTGACACCGTCGGTTATTTACAAAAAAACACCTAAATATACTTATTGTGCTTCTGTCTTTCTGTGTCTTTTCATCTGCTCCGTAAACTCCCTCACCGCTCGCTCTCTTTTCTTGATCGCCCTCTCACAGGAGAACACTTCAATGTCCCGCTTCATTGTAGGATTTCTGCCATGTCTCTACTTTAGTTTGACCATCTCTGTTATTAAGTTATGGAATACTAAATAAATAAGTAATTGGATACCTTACTGCGCTCATAAAGAATGATAAGAATAAGAATAATGCGTATTGAACTGGTTTCATTAATTAGTGAGTTTATTTAAGGCACAGCAGTTACAATGATCAAACTACATTAAAACAGAATTGTCCGCATGTTGTCTTTAATAGTTACTAACATTAGATATGTTAATGAGATATGGACCGCAACATTTATTTTTCCTGGTTTTCATTTATTTATTTTTTTATTAAAAAAGTTCTTACGTTTTCGGGGGGAGGCCCTTTTTCTAGTTTAGAGCAATAACCCCTCCAAATGTCTGTGCACGTCCCTCTATGCTGTCATGTACACAGCTACAGTTGGGATACCTTTGTTATCATGTTACTCTCATATTGGAAGCGGACATTCAGGATTTTACCAACACAAACAAAAACAAATAAATGATGTTTTGTCTTCACTCACCCACGGACATCATGTAGTCCCAGCGGTCCATGAAGCACAGGTTGAAGCCCTGCCCGTCAGACGTGTTGGTCGTGATGAACACGGGGATGTTCCTGTCTCGGTTCTGCAGGACGCCCACCGTCCACGCACACAGGAACCAGCTGACCATCAGCAGCATCACGCTCAGGATCCTCAGCAGGTACAGGCTGGACAGGTAGGGCACCCTCTGCGCCGTGCGAGAGAGGAACACCTTCAGCACCCTGTAGGGAAGAAGTAAAACACGTTTAATACAAGTAAAGGTGTAGCTACCTCAAGGGAAATCTTATAAAACAATAAAATAGTGCAATAAGAAACAAGATTATCTTGAAAGACCAATGTGCAAGTAATCTAGATGAAAATATACAAGAAGCTAAATGTTGAAGAGAATGTTGTAAGTGCACAAGTAAATGCAGGAGTCTATATACATGTAAATAGATTAAGATAAGCGATGACTAAATATACATGAAAACTAACTTACTGAACGGCTATTCCACTTTTGCTGCGATAACAGGTTAATAGCACATTTACTGTATATTGTGTTTGTGTATTCCAAAGATATACATATTTGTACAGTTTAAAATTGTATATTTAATGATTGTTTAATTTTTTGTGCAATGCCTTCTAAACATGCTGCTGGATTTTTGCTCATCGGGGAGTCCAGAAAGGTTTTTTGGAACTAGATTATTGAGTCGTAACGAAATCTAAATGAATAGCCTGTACTTCGGATGGAATTAGGATGGAAAATGAAAAACCTGAAACCTACCTGTACATCTTCAGAGTGATGGTCCCGTAGACGATGGAGAAGCCGAGCATCCGGACCCAGCGGAGCAGAATACACCTGAAGGTACTCGGCTTGAAGTACATGATGAACACCTGAAGAGACAGAGACATCACTGTAAGAAAAAGCTTTGAGCACTAGTAGTAATACAACTACTAATACTGCAAATCCTGGTGCTATTAATACTTCATTTGACATCTAGTACCATTTCTATTGATGGTATTATTACCTCATTGCATATCAACAGAAAGACACTTAATAACGTGCATCATGAGCGTTGATAGAAAATGAAAAGAGACATGATGCCTAACTAAATGTGTTTTTTTCCGCATTAAACAACAGGTTTTCCACTCGGTGTGTAGCAGCAGAGAGGATGACTGTAATCCAGGAATTAAATCTGTTCCTGCGCTGACAGACAGTCTCCGTCACTCAGGATAAGAGCATCAGCCAAAGCCTGAAATGTGAATGCAAATGTCCTCTGTGTGTTTCCCACCACTCATACGGGATAAACCCACTCACAGTGAACACATACAGTATAGAGCCCGAAGTGCAGGGCA